GCGAGGAAGCCCATAAAGGCCGCAAAGATGCTCAGCGAGACGGTGGCAATGACCCAGATTTTGAGTCCCGAGTCGGTGCCATAGTAGATGCGCGCCACGTCAATGTACAAGATGGACGGCATCGAGTTGAGCGTGATGCAGAGCATAAGCAGCTTGCGACGTTCGAGACCTGAGAGCACGTCGTACGTCAAGACGGGCTTGTTGCGCAGGACACCGTTGAGTCCTTCGACTGTCATGTAGACGTCGCCCGCAAACAAGTAGATGCTCAGGGCCGAAAAGAGAAGCTGCAGTGCGAGTAGTTCGTCGCCGTTCATGACTGTATGACCGACAAACCAACCCGTTAAGATCGGTAGCTTGGAGTCGCGGCCCGTGCACCAGCCCTTGAGTGTGCCAAGGTACGGAGTCATGTTGAGGATCTGACCATTGTTGTACGAGACGATTGCGTACCGGGGCCCGAGCGGGTGGGACGTAATGATCGAGTTCATGCCAATGTCATCCGCGTAGACGCTGCCGTTGGGCGTGATGATTGTGTGGGAAAGCCCAGCTACGATCGGCGTCACCACGCCGTCCGAGCCCACGTACGAGTACGATGTGTTCATGCGGACGTCCGAGAACGCCGTGAGGAGGTAGACGCCGAGCGGGAACCCGGGGCGGGCTGCGGTCTCGAGCATCGCGACGCCCGCAACCAGTTGCGATCCGTTGGTGGGATTGCATGCGGGAAAGTAGTCGTAGCCGACGACGACCTGGAAGGACGCCCAGCCGATCGCTGGCGTCGCGCCCATCCAGCAGGTTGACACAGAATACGTTGCTTGTGGTGGCACATCGAGCGCTGCCGCGAGGGCGACACCAAAGCCGTCCCACGCTTCGATCGTGCCCGTGATGTTGGTTTCGTCCACGGCGCACGAGTGGGGCACAAACCCGCCGGAGCGCAAGAGACAGTTGGCGCCAAAGTCGTTCCAGTATATGCTCTCGTCTTGGGCGTGGTATTGGACCACTTCACGGTGAAAGGTGCCTTGGCCAATGACGATGCCGAGCATGAGCAGAGAGAGGCAAATGAGGAGCGCTGCCATGAGATTAGACAGAATGCGGTACCACATGCGGTATCGCGCCGTCTTGTCCTTGGTTTCGCCGTGGTGCGTCGCCGGCTTGCTCGCGTCTGTGTGCGCCGTGCTCGCATCGCCGCTCGTCGTCAAGTAGCGGCGCGTGAGGTAGCTCGAGACGATGCCGCGGAGCCACATAGCTGTCTTCGACTTTGTCAAGTGCCTCGTGCTGGCGCCAAAATTAGCGGCGAAGATGCGACAGCCTTCATACAAAATGCCGTCAATGAGACGAGGTCCGCCGATCCGACGAATGGATATATTGGCAGTGAGCTCCTTCGGATATGGTAATGTGCCTGGGGGCGTCCCTAGATGCGCGAGCTCGTCATGTCGGGTCGTCACGTGAAACAGACGCCCAAGAGCCCAGTGTCCTACCGGTATTGCATGCCATGCTTTGGTACCGATCCGGATCCGGATAAAGATTGGCGATCTTGATTGTGTGCGTGGAAATGCGTGAAAGTCTCGAAATCGCACAGTCAGCTATTCCTAGTGAGCAAGGCGACCATTGGGAATAGCTTCTCCTCGTCATCAACTTGCTAATTCAATTTTGAATTTGCCGAAGAGCAGCACAATCCTTCGCACATCACCATCTTCCAAGGGCCATACCATACCTTTGCCAAAATAGATACGATCAAAGTGGTTTTCTATGACAACCACTCTACTCTAATCTTGGTGGCCAATCGAGGCGATTCAAGCTTAATATACCTTTTTTATCGTACCATTTCCAAATCAGCCGAGCATCGCAAGCATGAGCTGTCAAGTGCCCATGATGGCCATCGACACGTCCCTCGCCAACACCCGCGGCCTTCTCATCCACCAAAAGTTCCAAGCGGTCGACGTCGTTGCCGATGTGCTCGATTTGCCGTACGAGGCCAAGAACAAGTACCGCATTCACCACATGCCACCCGACAAGAGAGCGCGAAGCCACCCGCACGACGCCGAGGGGTGGCAACCGACGACGGTCGGGATCGAAGCCCTCGACAAATTCCTCTTTGCACACGAAGAGTCGGGCCTATGCATGCGCATGATTCTCAAGTATTTGGGCTGCAGCAACCTCCGCCCGATGAAGATGCACATCATGGTCGAGGGTGCAACCGGCGACGCGTACGTAATTGACCGTCCATTTCGCTTGGGCGGCGCCTACTGCCTCCCATTGACGATGAACCTCAGCGCGGTGCACGGCTCGGAACTCATTCGCATCGGTCGCGCGCGCGAGAACTTTTCCAGTTACATTGGCAAGTGCTTCCAGGCCTGCTGTCTCTGCACCACGTACACGGACATTGAGCGGCTCTTACCGGACAATACGTTCTCCAAGCGGTACACGATTCGCCTCAACGTCGCTTGCTGCGGCCGCACCAACAACTTCTGCGGCGGCACGTGTTTCAAGCGCAATGCGGTCTACGACATCTTGGACGTCCAGGACAATGTGGTAGCCCATTTGCAGCTTACGGCAGCCGACACGCGCTCGTGGTGCCGCGCCATGGGCTCTTTCAACACGTACATTCTCGAGTTCCCGCCGGATTCGACGCCCGAAGACCGCGCGCTTCTGGTCACCGCGCTCTTCCAGATTGAATTCGCCATGTTTGAGACGACGGG